TTAATAGCTTTTTGTTTAATCTATCAAATCTACAAAAATTATTTGAATATCTTTTTATATTTAAAGACTTATATCATTTAAAATTTATATATAATTTAAAATTTTGGCGCTTATATATAAAAAAACATAAAAATTTAAATTTATTAAATTTTATTAATAAAATTTAAAATTGTATTAAGTTTTGCTGCATTTTTATTGGTTAATTATGTTACACAACGGCCAAAAAATTGGCGAGTGGTATCAACTGTAGTAAAATACAAGATTTCATAAATAAATAGTAATGTTTTCGATCAAAGATCACCAAAACATTTGCACGTATACTCTTTTTTTGGTATGATCTACTCGAACAAATTAGGAAAAAAAAATATCTTGGTAATCTATACTAGAGTTCCAATCCGGATAATCCGTCATCCGTTTATCCGTATCCAAATAAATCCAAATCGTTCGGATATCCGGATAATCCAATGGGTTATCAGATAATTATCCGGATATTAATAGTAAAACGGATATTCGAATAAATTCAGATTTGGATATCCGATGGATAAATGGATAAACGGATAATGGATAGAAACACTAATCTATACAGTACATACTAGGTTAATGCGCAGCATTGTGTGTCCGGAACGCAATAATATAAACTTGCCAACTATTTTTTTGACTCAGCACAAATCATAACAATGTAATGCATCAAGAATGTAACGATTATACGCATGCGGACAGACACCAAATACGGAAGTTACAATTTTGATATTACGATTATTTGATGCATCAAAAATGTAACTTTTGTATCACCTTACCTAAACACCTACGATTCTAAAACGTAATATATATAATACGTAGAAAAATAATAGAAAATAGAGTATCGTACATAATATCGTATAAATACTTTTCATAGGATCCTATGCAAAGTGTCTGGCATAGTGGCAAAGGCATGCCAAATCTATTTGTGGCATGACACTGGGACAGTATAAAAAACTATTTATAGTATCTATAGACTTATAGTATCAGTATATATTATGATTATTAATCATACAATATTTATGGCATTCCAAAGTTTTTTTTTGCGTGCCAGACACCCTAATCCTATGACAATTTTGTTACTAAAATACGTAATCGAATTTTACTATATACAGTGTTAAGTAGTTAATTATTTCAAAGATCTTACTACGTACGTACGTACATATATGATACGTATTGAATTGATATTAATACTGAAATGGTTGTGTTGTGTATTATACTCTCAAGATGCTGCTCACGATATGTAAAAAAAAAAATTTAAAGAGAACGCAAGACTGATCTTATGTTATTTTACCTTTGAAACGTTTTTTTGAGTTTTCTTCTCTGGGTTTATTAATTTACTTTCTTAATATTCAACTATTTTTATTTTTTTTCTGTCGAACTTTTCAAAGATTAAAACGAAAATTGGAACGAAAAATAATGTGATCACTTTTAAATCTATTATTGATTACTGGATTAAAAAATTTTTATATTCACTTATAACTAAACAAACCTGCATACGTAGGATTTTCAGTGCTCTAATAAAAAATTTTCCTTGATTTATTATATATATATCTTACGTAGTAAACTTCTAACCCTATAGTAATCACTAACTTAATAAGTTTAAAGATTTTTTTGCTGCAACACAAACATTATACCTTTTTTGGTGCTGCATTAAATCTCAGATATGATTTTAACAGTTCTTAAGTAATAATTAACACTATTTCGAATTGATATATTTCGTTAGAATTTTTCAAGTTTGCAAATTTTTGAATCTACTGTCTTTTTGCCGATTATAATTGTTTTTTTTTTCTTTAATAAAAGTTGAAAGTATTGTATACCAGAAATATTTTGACAATGATACTACAATTCATAACGGTACAGTACTATAATAGTATTTGCAGATCGCAACAGATGACTTTATTAAAACACAATAAAAGATATAGGAATTTATATTCCCAAAGAAAACAATGTAAACATAATCTCTAACCAAACTATAATATCTAAGCATACAGGGAAAGTCGTCTAGAAGAAATCCATGTAGCTTCAAAAAGAATCAATTAGGCAATCATTTATGAAGTGATAAAGATGCTGTTAAGTTCAACAAAGGGGCAGCTGCACCATCACTGCGCAACCGCGGAGCCTAACCATCACCAAGCGAGGTTCTTACACGCGGAATATGACGCTGCTTACCATTACCATTTAACTAATTAGACCAAATGCAAATCATTACTTTAGTTGCCGAGTCACTGCAAAATGACCGAAAAATAACCTCTCACTATTGAATAACTTTTAAATACACTGATTATCAAAAACGTTTTCTTTATCACAGGCTTTCATTACAATTTTATTTTATTTTTTTAAAAAACAAAACCAGTAATGGACTAGAGATTATTATATATGCATTCCAACTTTAGGCAATTAAATATCAAATCTGCACTCACACCCTTTCACAATGAAATACTGTATAACCATTAATTATTAATTTCCAGAACCGTCCAAGACGCCCTAGCTCTCCCACAAAAAATTGTTCACCTCCGTGCATTTTTGACCTGTCAAATTTCAAGAGCATGTGTACATACAATCGAGCGTGAAGCTATTTTACCCTAACCCAAATTACAACGCAATTTTATTCTTTGTAAAAAAATTACAGGCGTGACCAATTTTTTGTGAGAACGCTGCCTAAAATATCATGACATCATCTAGGGCCATCATAAAAAGTGCAGTGACGGCACAGCCAGAGTTAATAAAAAGTAAAAAAACGTTTACAATAAGCTGCTATGAGAGGCCAATAGGTGGCACTAATTAATCGTACGTTACTGCACTTTTTTATGGTCGCTCTGGATGATTCAAATTACCGTATATTGGGATAGGAATCAGCTATATGATTTAGTCGACTAAATCGATTCCTATCCCTAGCCGTATAACTATATACTCCCTCGTTCCCGGTATATTTATTGACCTATTACGAATAGATTTAATGATTTACTATGATTGGTTACAAGTTTTCACTCTCACGCACTCAAATATAGCGTCAAAAAACACCAAAGAAAAATAAATGTATGCATGCAAATTATGCTGCACATCTTTTTCTGCTATATTTAAATGTTCAACGATGCACGAAATCGAGCTCCAAGTTGACTTGGGACCGAACTTTAATAAAGACTCGACTTTTTGAGTCGAATCAAACCAGACCGGACTTTTAACATCCCTACTTATAATCTAAATAATCTAAATAATCTAAACGCACTACAACAGCGCGATGCTAACCCTTGTTAATAAATACGTATGAATTTAAATTATTCAGATTATTCATGACTATAGTTCAATTAACCAAGATTTTTTATTGGTACCATTGAAATGAAATATGCACGCCGCAATTAGGAAAATGATAGACATTTCGAGTAAATAAGATATTTCCAGGATGAGCGTACGTATGAAAAATCTCTTTCCATAACAAGAAAATTAAATTTTCGCCACATTCTGCATACGTATGTACAGTATTTATAACATACCATTGCATGTCAATTTGGTTTTGAATAAAACCTTTAATGAGAAAACAGCTCGACTTGTACGTAACAGTGAAATAAAGCGGCTGCCTAATACGTATTATTCAAGCATATTTCAGCCTAAAGCTATGATTATACATCCGTATATATGTCTTAAGATATTTGAGAAATCACTCAGGCTTCTGATTGTCTTAAAACGACAATCTCATCTTGTCTTCTTTTTTGACGAGGAGGCAGGATACATCAGTGTTGGCCTATGACCTGTTATGACCTATTGGTTAACTATAGATGACCTTATGACCTGTTATGACTTATAAAATTTACTATTACATTATGACCACCTTGGTCATATAAAGTTGAATATGACCCAAAATGGCCAACACTGGGATACATTACATCTAAACCGCCTTCACAAATTATTTTAACATTAATAAACACCCTTTCTAGTTTAGAAGCCATCGTTTGAGTATATTTAATCGATTTCTTGATTTTAGCTCGTACGTACAATTCACAAAATCATCTTAAAAATAGATATGCACTGTCTCTTAGGTTGTCCCACTCGAACATTTTAATTCATTAGTTTCCTAAAGAAATTAATGACGCAATTGCGCCTCCACTATTAGTGGTTGCACAACATTCAAAGGAAACTATTGATTGGTAGAGAAGTTCGTCTGATTGGCTAACAATTTCCATTTACTTTTGCATTACATATACGTACGTACGGCTTTAAAGTACGTACGTACGTACGTACGTACGTATGCACTTTCAAAAAAGATCTTTGACTCGCATTCTTTTAATGTAATTTAATAGTAACTTTCAAAAGCAGAGAAGTTACTACATATTAAGTTAGCTTTTTCAAACAGATGAGGATTAATTAACTATGGAATTAATAAAACTTTTTAAGAGTACATAACCAATAGAATTATTAGCCGATCAGACGAATTAGTCGATCTTGCCTAAGGTTGACAATAAATTTTATATTACCAGATCTCTTATCCGGGGTTTATTATGTTGAATCAAGGATATGCATGAAGTGTGATACGATATGTAAGTCATTAAACATCTTGTAAATGCGTAACCACTAGTTTTTATCTTGATTAGAAAACTGAAACCTATGTATTGGTACGATCTTTTAATTCATTGAAATGCTGAAACATGGATAAACCTATATATTTATTTTTAAATTGCCATTCTAATATTACTATACTTTTTTCCTGAAACATCTTCGTAGTAATGTTTACTCGATGCCATGTTTGTTGATTCATCGGTACGGCAATCGGATCTGTGTTTTAATAAATAAACTATATGTCGATTTTATTAATTTCATTCATGCTTTTAATAGTTTTTTCAGATCTGTTGTGTTCACTAAAAAAAAAACTGTTCGTACGTAGTATTATTTTAATTTTACGAATTTCATTATCATCTAAACCTTTCATTATTCTAGAATAACATAAACACAACAAAAAAAAAAATAATAAAATAATAAATCATTAGATGAAGCCTCACCAAGTGCAGTTCATATCAAGTGCTCCATTGACATCTATAAATTCAACTAGACTTGATTCGCAGGCTTTTTACCACTCACAATCAAATAGGAATAATACATTTAGTTCATATTCTTCATTTGCTCGAAGAACTCTTGAGCAAAGGATTACAACTATTAAAAACCAAGAATCATTACCTCGTTATCAAGCTTCAAATAGCATTTATTTTGACAAAACTTTTGCACGACAGACTGTTTATTCTCGCAAATTACGATGGCTTCGTCAGGCACTTACAATTATCATGATAGGATTTATAGGACTCTATTTAATATATAACTGGTTTATATATAACAACAACTTAACAAAATACTTTTTAGTATCTTCACGAACAGTAAATATAAATGGTCAAATTCTATTATACCGTATTCTTGGTAACGACCTTCCTCCACGTCATAAAACCGGCCAAACCTTAAAGAACTTGAAATTTATATTAGAACATGAATCTGAATTCTTAAACACAAAAAAATGGTGGATCCTTAACCGAATTGTGAATTCTGAATACGAAAATGCTATAATTAATCTCTTAAAGTTACATAACCAAAGTTACATTCGAATACCTTTTGATGAACAAGAATATTTAAAATATGATTTTCGCCTTGAAGATTTTCCGGAACCTGATTTTTTTCATTCAAATGAATTTATGAATCTTTCAGAAGTTGGTAAATTAAGGACAATTGATTATACTTATCATGAAAAAAACTTATATGCCATAAATAATGTAAGTAATTTTATTTTTTTTCTTCAATTACACGAATCTAATATGAAATAATTCTTTTTTTTTAGCCAAGTTTTGAATTTTAAATACATTCATCTTTTTTAGAATGGTGGTAGGAATGCGGCTATCGCTCATGGTAAATCTCAACACAATGTTAGTTGGATTTTACCATTCGATGGAAATTGTTTTTTGACTCCTAACGCGTTTGCTGATATTCGACTTCATTTATATAAATGGGGAGAAAAATATAAATATTTCATTGTACCGATGGCAAGATTGATAAATAACTCTCAATTGTTAAATGGATCGGATACACGGCCTATCACTCCAGAGGAACCTCAAATCATCTTTCGTTATGATTCTAATAAAACTTTTAACGAAAATATGCGTTATGGTAGAAGGTCAAAAGTGCATGTCGATTTTTTTCATACGTATTATTAATAATCGAAATGACAAAAAAAAAAGTCAAGATTTTAATTAACAATTATAATTTTATTTAGTTGGATATGTTATGGCGTTTAGGTGTCCCAACTACTAGTAGAAATTTTAACAGAACATCTGCTCCATGGGAACCTCATCATGGTCTTTACAAATTTGTTGAAAGTGACCAATATAAAACAATTGGTTGGGTTTTTCGTTTATTTTCCGGTCAAGCATCACAAGAATTGAACCAGAAAGAAGCCGGTGCATTACGTTCGTTTAATCGGTTATTGGCAATTCAGGAATTTATAGATGGTCTAGATGAACGAATTGCTCGAAAAATTCATGGCTTTGATCCTTTTCGATTATTTATTTATGATGAAAAGTTACTAAATCAAGCAAGATTGAATTTTTGGTTACAAATCCCTGATGTAGTTGAAATAGTTCAAGTGTTGATCAAACGTGCTGACGAAATATTATCAGCTACAATTAATTTATTTGAATCGGAACGTGGCATTCAAGATGATGAAAATACTCTTGTACATTTCTTGAAACCAAAATCAAGTATTTACAAATTATCACATCAACCCGTTGAATCTGTTGATAATGACAAGATCTCTCAAAATATTGATTTTAAAGAATACTTTTCTACACCTGACTCATTCTTTGAAAATATAACGACTTTGGTTTTGGCTCATTATTTTTCAGGTGAAGAGAAATATGCTAAATGGGCTGCCAATTTAATTCGAACTTTTATTCTTTCTTCTTATGTCATTGGAGATCAAGATGATTCGGAATTCGTTTCTATCTATTCTGATTCTGTTAACGTCGAAGGTTATGGTTTCCCAAATTTAAATAAGATTCCACGATCCATTCCAAAACTTTTCAATGTTGGCTCTCCACTTTTGATCAATATAACCGATGCTGACCCAAGCTTCTTTTTAGATGCGTGTAGACTTCTTTATCGTACAAATATACTTACTCATAAAGAATATATGGATCTTCGAATGTTTGCTTCTGATTGGTTAGAGGCTCTTATAAATTCTAAAGCTGAGAGAAACTCTGATCATCGTGGTATAATCTTTGATCTTCGAGTACTATCATTGGCTGGATTTATTGACGATTTAAGACTTTATCTTCGAATAGTTAATCGTGTTCGAATGCGAATTGGAAAACAATTTTATGTCTCAAACGATTTATCAACACATGAGATTAAACAAAATTATGAGATTATGTATGTTCAGAATTTACTTGATACTGGTAAAATTAAACCATCAGATTATGATGAGAACATTTTTAGATATACAACTTTAAATTTACACTACTGGTTGCTACTTATACGAGGTGTACAAAATGGGCGTTGCGGTTCAAATATATGGCAATATACGGCTAAAGATGGACAAAGGATTAGTAAAGTCGTTATGGAACATTTAAAGCTATATGCTAATAAGATGCATGATGTATCTTTGATACATATAGCAAGGACTGCTTATATAATTAACAAATTCAAACAATGCACATGGAAGGAACCAAAAGATGAACTTGAGTACTTTCAAAATCTAGCAAATGTTGGTGACACAATGAAAATTAAGTTGGGAAATCGAATAAACGATGATGAATTAAATACAAGGATTGGGATAGGGAATGAAGCAAGACGGAGAGGTTTACCACCGTTTTGGATGCTTGGTGTTGCATGACATTTAACATCATAATTACTTGGAGAATACTGGGAATTAATTTATGTTTCCATCCATGGTAATCTCTGGTAATCTTGGACTATTAGACATTAAACATTTATTTAGACGAATTTTAAAAAACTTTAATACGTAATTATTATAATAAGTATATAATTTATTGTCAAAAAAACATTTATAAAGGTGTAAAAAAAAATTATTGAAATAAATATTAGATTTTCTATATGCTATTAAAAGAAATAAAAAATTAAAAAATTACTTATCAATAATTTAGAAAACATTTTTTATGTTGGGAGCATGGTGCGTGTCGGTAGAATAATCTATATATAGGGTCATATATAGGGTCTTTGTAGTAGAAAAGGCCTAAATGCTCTATATATTATATATGCATTTAGGCCTTTTCTACTATATAGACTACATGATTGATTATTATTATTGATTATGGTATATCGATATTACAATATTATTTAATTTGGGCTGAATATAAAATGAATTAGCTCGAATTTGAGATCCGGAAATAAGCTTAAAAAAAGAATGATATGAATAAATAATATGTACGTCAGTAGCCTCCAAAAATAAAATGTATTATGAAATAGTTTCTACCTGAACACCTTGAATACCTGAATTTTGGTATGCAAAGCTAAAATTCGTGCTGCAACTAATAGTCAGTATCTCATGTCAAAGTTAATGCCATAAGTGTTGAAAGCAATATAAGTTATAAATTATGGTTAATACTGTATACCATGTACAGTCGGCTCCAAAAGTTTATCACGGTTGCACAAAAATAATATACAAAATCACGATAAAATATTAATGAATACGACTGGCTCTTGATATAAAAAAAGTCACCAGGTCTAGCCAAAATCTTCTTATATCGAAACTTGCTTATATCAAATACCTATAAAATTTTCAAATGGAACTTTTAAAATCTTTCTTATGCCAAGAGTTTCTTATGCCGAAGGTTTCCTATATCTAGAGTTGCTTGTATATACATAATTATCATAAATTTGCGTTGTTTTTCACAATAATTATATTACCGTACGCCACTAACTATAGTACCCGGTGTGACACGATTTTTTACATAGTGAAAAATTAAAAATCACGTGTATTTTATAAACTACAACACTCCCGTTTCGCTCGATCTACACTCCTTTACCGAACCAGTATACTGTACATGCTATCACACATCCATTAAATTTTATATAATACTCCATATTGTATACTAATGGTTCCGTACGTTTAATTATTGTCATTTCTTCTGGGTGTTCCCCCAATGTAGGATCAACCCAAGCAGTCAACAGTTGTTTAAAGCTATTTGTAAGATCATTAGCGATGGTTGATGGCGAGGTTGTGGAAACAGGTGTAGGTTGCTCCAAACAGCTATAGATGTTCGGAGACAACCCAAATAATGCAAGTGGCATCTGAAAATACTTCCTGAACGTTGTATTTTCAGCGTCTGAGATACTCTTATTATCGTCGATTCTAATCTTCTTGACAAATTCACTTCTCGTTTCAATATCACCTGCTTGATAATCTTTCAGCACGTCTTTGATCTTACATTTACATGAAGTGACTTGATGTGTTTGAATAAACTCTTTTGGGACGTCAGCAAACTCTGTTCTTGCACCTAATTGCAAATATAACGACAAAAATGGCATATGCGAAAGTTTCTCAATTTCTATATATTCTGGTGACAGCTTTGCTGTTGCAGAGAGTGGGTAGTCATCACCTTTATTATCCGTAGACTAATTTTTAACTTGTATTAGTATGTATGAAATACGATCTTCGTTAAGCCTTTCATGAAGAGTGCCCATATATATAGGTATGATGATGTCTACCCCTGCTGATTTCGTTTACATGAAAATGCAACACCGCGCATCAGAGCTTCCCCTAGATTTTTCCTATTCTATGTATATGTAACACTGATAAAGTGTGTGAGCTTAATGTAAGCTTTGCCAAACGTCGTCCCCGTAAACTTTACTTTAATTTTAAGATTATCATCAATTTTTTTATAAACATTGTTCGCGAGTAGTGACTTTAAAAATTCATTAATAGTCATAAACGAGAATAATCATTGCCAACATCTCTGCTAACTTTCGAATGCAATTATCCCAAGCTTTAAGAAGCAATAGTCTGGCAGTAATTTCTCCACAGTAACCAGCTTCTGCTACACCTTTTTTGAGCGCTGAAGAGAAATTATTAATCAGTTCTGTGAGGCTGACATCTTGATCATTCACCAAAAATCAGGTTACACAAACATAGCAGGCTTTATAATGATTGGCTGATTTTTGCAAACCATCTTATTATAATAAGATCCTATTAAAGTATGATTTTTTTATGTTACAAGATTGACAAATATGAATTCAGGAAGGGTAAACAAAAAAAATTAGAAGTTTTTATAAACTGACAAAGTAATTTTGCAATTCACAAAGTAGTTTGGAAGTTAGATAAGAGGTATGTTTAAGCATTTAGGTTTAGTCTATAGGCACAATAAATAATTAAAATCTGCAATTTATATTATAAAAACTTATTTTTCATAATCCCAACTAATAAAAATTTATGACCTTTTTTGCACAA